ATATCAATGTTTTTAGCTATTTTATTTTTCTTGTGAATATTTTTTGATCAAGGTGAAATTACATATCATTAAATTCAAAGATCTTGACTGTACAATTCGATGAGTTTTAGCAAATGCATAATTCAATGCCATAGCTCTAACATACTAGTTGTATTCTTTCCCTGCTGTCTCTGTAAGATCATTGAGATAAATTCAAAATGTTTCTGTTCTCCATAGCTACCATAAAAACAAAACCCCAACATTTTTAGAACCATTAAGGTTGGTAATTGTGGTAGCTGATAAGAAGGTAGTTGGGGCTGGGCACGGTGGCTCATGCCTGTAATCCCTGCACTTTGGGAGGCCAAGACAGGCAGATCACTTGAGTATAGGAGTTGGAAACCAGCCTGGCGAACATGGTGAAACCCTGTCTCTACTAAAAATACACAAATTAGCCAGGTGTGGGGGTTGAATCTCCTGAACCTGGGAGAGAGAGCTTGCAGTGAGCCAAGACTGTGTCACTACACTCCAGCCCAGGGGACCCAGAGAGACTCTGTCTCAAAAAAGAGAAAAAAAAGAAGAATAAGAAGGTGGTTGGTATCTAGTACTCTCCTAAAGGAACCTTAGGCCCTAATTGTGAAAAGTCTCTGAGGCAGCTAATGCTAGAGTTTTCTAATGTAAGTTTCAAAATTAGTACTAGTAATGCATATTAATTATATCTTACATTCCCATAGCCTAAATAACCAGTGTAAGTTTATAAAGAATTATCTCCTTCTAGCTGCCCTTTTGTTTCTGGTTGGCCAGACACTATACTCTCTGTATTTTAAATATTTTAGCATAGGCTAGCAGTTCAAAATAATGATAAAGTATCCTTTAAATCCCATATTTCATCCTGCAAGAATTTTTAGTTAGTACTTTCTAGACTGTATATAATAGGTTTAAAAAAAAAAACAATAAAATTCAGGCACCTTTTTGGTAGCGTATGCTTTAAACCACGTGACAAAGCAAGCTACAATTTGTGAAACATACTGAAGGAAAATATCACATCTATTTGAAATTATTGAGAGAAGATTGATTTTTCTTTTTAAGCAGAAAAATTGATGCCCAAATTTTAGTTTTGCTAATGTACAAGGTTAGACCTCCTTATAAAAAGTACAGTAGCATTTGGATGGGGCAGATTGCAGCATCTTAGAATGTGGCATTTCCTTTGTTTAGAAATGGTATTAAATAACTAAGGAATAAGGAAATATTACAAGCAGTATTTTGGGAGGTTTTTTTAAGACAGAGTCTCCCTGTGTCTCCCAGACTAGAGTGTGGCGGTGTGATCTTGGCTCACTGCAACCTCTCCCTCCTGAGTTCAAGCAATTCTCATGCCTCAGCCTCCTAAATAGCTGGTAATACAGGCACCACCACACCTAACTAATTTTTGTATTTTTAGTAGAGACAGGGTTTTCCCACGTTGCAAGGCTGGTCTCGAACTCAGCCTCAAGCGATCCACCCACCTTGGCCTCCCAAAGTGCTGGGATTACAGGCATGAGCTGCCGTGCCCAGCCAAGAACTTGTAAATTATTACAGAAGTGGTTGTGACATCTGTTTTCATGTGTGAGTTGGGGGTGGTGGTAGTGGTGGTGTTTGTGTGATCACAGCTCACTGCAGCTTCAAATTCCTGAATTTAAGTGATCTTCCCACCTCAGCCTCCAGAGTAGCTGGTACCACAGCCATGTGCCACTATGCTCAGCTAATTTTTTGGTACTTTTTGTAGAAAAAGGGTTTTGTCATGTTGTCCAGGCTGGTCTCGAACTCCTGAGCTCAAGCAATCCTCCCACCTTGGTTTCCCAAAGTACTGGGATAACAGGCATGAATCACCCCGCCCAGCTGATATCTTTTATTTATTTATTTATTTATTTATTTACATTTTGTTTGCATCCTGGGTTCTTGCTTTTTTCTAGCCAAATTTAGTCCTCTTACTTTTTCTTCCTGTTTTACTAAAGGGCTCATGGGTAGCACTTGTCCTTGCTGAGTGGAAGGAGTGCTGTCTTCTCAGTTAGTAGCTCCATCTCTCAAATCCCACTATTCTTAATTCTGCTTCAGTGGGAGACTAATGAGTAGGCCAAGACCTTCAAAGTTTGGGAGATGGAAGAATGGAAATTCTCAAATGGATTCTAGGATTACTTTTAAACCTCTTCAGAGATTAAAAGTTAGAGAAACTTGGTACAAGCTTGAGGGAAAGAAAGCTTAGGGATGTAGGGTTATGCCTTTGTGTGTACCAGTAGGGCAGATAAACAAAAGTGCATATTTAATGAAGACTATTTAGTGGTATAGCAGGGAAAGGGTAGATTTTCAGTTTTCCTTCTACATATAGTAGTTGTAGGTAGACTTTTTTTTTTAACCAATACAAATGATCAAAAATAAAAAGAAGCCTCAGTATTTTTAAAGTAAGGCAAATACACACACACACACACAGAGTTATTTTTTGAAAGCTGGAAAATTGTTTCTGAAGAGAAATGTATGATCTACAGTTAAAATGTTTAGACATTTGGCAATTGGATAAAATAATTTTTTGGCGAAAATAGGAAAACAGATTGACATAAATGTACATTTGGGTAGCAGCTTTCATTTCTTGTACATACACAGTGTAATAGTTCTGGGCAATAAATTCTTGGAAAAGTAGAGTAGGGATTGGATAAATGTCGTATTTTATGACTGAATACATATAAACAGGTGAAAACTCAAGATGGAGAGGTAATAGTAACCACCTGATAAAGAGACTTAAAACCCTTTCACCATTAAAAAAAAAAGATTGCTTTAGAGTTATAACTTGATATTCTAGTTTGATTTTTTTGTTTTTTTTTTTTTTGAGAAAGAGTCTCGCTCTGTCACCCAGGCTGGAGTGCAGTGGTGCAATCTCCGCTCACTGCAACCTCTCCCTTCTGGGTTCAAGCAATGCTCCTGCCTTAGCCTCCCAAGTAGCTGGGACTACATGTGCATGCCATTGCGCCTGGCTAATTTTTTTGTATTTTTAATAGAGACGGGGTTTCACTGTGTTAGATGGATGATCTCAATCTCCTGACCATAATCTACCCTCCTCAGCCTCCCAAAGTACTGGGATCACAGGCATGAGCCACCGCACCCAGCCTAGAGTTTGATTTTTTGTAAAAGATATTCATTGCATTTGTGGGCACTATGGATACATAAAATTAAAAATGCCTTTTGTTTCTCAATATAATTAAATATTGTTTCCCAGTATTTAAAATCTTAACTGTAAAAACATTTTTTTTGAATGCTATTGATTTTGAAACTAATATTAGGATTATTATAAAAGATGAGACAGCCACTATTTATTCCATGGATCTCTTAAAAATAAAGGATTGTTGGGCCGGGCGCGGTGGCTCAAGCCTGTAATCCCAGCACTTTGGGAGGCCGAGGCGGGTGGATCACGAGGTCAACAGATCCAGACCATCCTGGTCAACATGGTGAAACCCCGTCTCTACTAAAAATTACAAAAAATTAGCTGGGCAGGGTGGCGCGTGCCTGTAATCCCAGCTACTCAGGAGACTGAGGCAGGAGAATTGCCTGAACCCAGCGGGCGGAGGTTGAGGTGAGCCGAGATTGCGCCATTGCACTCCAGCCTGGGTAACAAGAGTGAAACTCCGTCTTAAGAAAGAAAGAAAGAAAGGAGGGAGGGACGGAGGGATTGTTGACCATGAAGAGTTAAGTAACTTTTTCAAATCTACTGCCAAGCTATATCCAGTATGTTGGTCTTCAGACCTTTCCTATATCCCCCAGATCCATCCTACGCTATCTGTTTCACCTCTGATTTCAGATTTCTCATGCCTTTTTCTGTGACAGATTACTGCAGCCAACTGAATTTTCCCTCTTCTCTGAATTTCGTAGCTTACATGCTAATTTAAAACCTCTTTGTTGTTCTAACTTTTTGTAAACACTTTTTAAGACCAGAACAATTTGTTATATTTCTTTGTACACATTTGTTAGCAATGCTGGTGGGTGATGAGTAAGCCTTATGGAAAGCAAGTTTTAAGGAAATTCAGGAGACAGAACAATTAGTAGTATGACAAGGGGATCGTGAATGAGGACCTAAACTGAAGAAAGACTAGGTCTTGGGGAACATAAAAGAGAGGACATTACAAGTGGAGATTACAGAATGATCTGAGGCCCAAATGCACATAACCTAGTGACTGGAGCTGTAGGTAGCAGTGAATAATTGGATAAATGAACCAATAAACAAATTAGTATATTCTGAGTAGAGGGAGATGGCCAAGTTTACTGGACTATTCCTTGTAAGTCATTTATTCATCACACATTTTTTTCATTCTCTAGGATATAAAAGTGAAAAAAATATTTATTTTCAGGAGCAAATTTTAATGGGACAGACAGAAAAGTTAAAACTTATTAAAATATGTTACCTGTAATAAGAGGTATGCCCATCACCTATGGAAACACAAAGGAGGAAGCTGCTAAGAGGAATTGTGTAAGATAGGCCAAATCCTCAAAGGCCTTAAATGCCAGACTCAATTGTTTGGACATTATTTTGGTTATTGAAGCAAGATACTACATCAGGACCACTTTGTGAAGCTGTGGGTCAGCAGTGATCCTTCCTAAGGTTTCTATGTGAGGCTCAGTAATAAGCACCTCTGAGAGTTTTCCTGCCCCGGACCCATAATTATACTTCAAATTCAGCTAAAAGTAAAAGTCAGGCTGTGGTTGGGAGAATTGACCATCTCCAACCTGTTTGCAAATACCATCTCAAGAGGTAGTAACTCTTTAATGCTAAAATTTCATAAATATCAAATTGAGATATTCTAGTTGTTGTAGAGACCTGAAATGCCTACCTAATTTGGAAGAATAATGTTTACTTTGAGAGTGATTACTAAGTATATTTGTACTCTGAAAAGAAAGAACAAGGAAATGAGTTTGAATTTTGCTGATTTTTTTAATGGTATGTAATTTCAAAGATCTGTAACTAAACATAACTATTTCTGCCCTAAATTATTATTTATTTTTAGTCATTTGATCCTTCAAAAATCACAAGGAAGAAAAGTATTATAATTTACTCTCCAACAACTGGAACTTGTCAAATGAGTCTATTTGCTTCTCCCACAAGCTCTAAAGAACAAGAGTACGGAAATGGACTATCAAATGGTTAGTTGAACATTCTTTTCTTCTTATTGTAAGGTTTTTTTAGTTACTGCTTGAATCAAAATTTTGATTTAATCATATATGGATCTTGCTACAGCTGATTTTTCTCTCCTTTCAAATAATTTAATACCTCTCTAGAATATAGGTATTACTTTGGACATAAATGTAAACTCTCGGCACTTATTTTAAAATGCAACTGCAGGCTTTGTTCCCTTACTATCCCATCCATTAAATAGAAATTATGGCCTGACTGCCTTCAGCTACTATCAATTATAATGGTTACAGATATGCCCCTTAACAAGCTATCCATCATGTGCATAAATTAAAGGGAGCATAATTCAGGGGCTGCTGCACTACAACTTAAGAGTGATACTTCTAAATGTTATTTTTATCCCAGTTGTCCATTTAGTTTTACCCACCATTTAGTATATCTTTATATAGCTTACCTTTATTTATTGTATTTCATTTCCTTCTTTTTCTTGACTATTTCAAATGCATTTACAAAATGTTTGTAGAATTTTTCCATAGAGAAAAATCTAATTTTAATATGAAGTTCCTTATTTTTAAATATTATTAGTTTAATTTTAATTTTGACCAACATATTTGTTGTCGTCTGGTAGTTTATTGCTAAAATATTGATTTAAAAACACAAATCTTGATTTTTTTGGGCTTATTTATTTATTTGAGATAGGTTATGAATCAGTGACATGTAGTTTTATAATATAAAATTTTAAATAGGCTCAAATTTAATAATGTATGCTTTAGATACACTGTGGTTAGCCTAATTCACATTTTATTGTTTAACATTTAATGAATGCTAAGCATATACTAGAAACTACCCAGAAACAAAGAAGTCTCATTTTACCTAATTTATTATAATAAAACACATAATGAGATCTTAAAGTTTTGAATGTCTTTGATTTTACTTTAATCAAATGCTTTTTAATCCTAAAGCTGTTACTATTAGATTCTCTTTCCCTAAAATATATGAAAATGTATACATTATCTTTAAGTTTTATAGTTCTATTTTTTATATATGCGATATATCTTTTTAATTAAAAATAAATGCCTTAGAGATTGTACATCCCTATACTGAAATGTGAATCGATTTTAAGTTGATATGTACTCAATTTCCATATTGAAATTAAATATGGACTTAAGGGAACATTCCTTTTGCCCATAAAAAGATTGGTCACATGATTTCAGTTGACATTTAAGTAGATAATTATCACAGATTATAGTCCTAAGTAAGCTCTTTTTTTAAAAGTCAAATAGCAACGGTTTTAGAGGTGCTGGCAATGTTCTATTTTTTGACCTACATAGTGGTTACACTGATTCACTCTAGATATTCATTAGACTGTACATATATGTTTCATGTGCACTGTAATATAAATATTCACATATAGAAGTCTCAAAACAATTTTGTCCCGAATTCTGTATCAGATTATGTCATTTGTAATCATTACATTGCTTATTCTAATATGTCATCTTGTACATGTTTTAAAAATGAAAAAACTTGATTTTTATGAAGTAACTCGAGTTTCAAATAAATGAGAAGTATGACTTATGAAGTCATTTAAGTTCCAAATGAGATCATAATCTCTTAACAATTCCCACTTTTAAAATATTATACAAAACATAATATAAAATTTAAATAATATTTTTAAGGACATTTTAGGTGCTACTCACTTCCCATCACACCATGGTAAGATCCAGAACCTTTAATGACGTGTAAGGCCATATATCCATCTAACACCTGACCACCTCAACTGCCTCATTTTCTACTCCTTTTTTATACTACTTTAGCCACTCTTACCTTCTTGCTATTTGTCAGTCATGCTGAGCGCTGTCTTGCCACAGGGTGTTGCAGTTCTTTCCACCTGGAATACTCTTCCTCCAGTAAATTTATGCATTCGAAGCATGTACTATGTGAACAGAAGACTTAATTAAATCCTTCTTTTTTTTGAAACAGAGTCTTGCTCTGTCACCCAGGCTGGAGTGCAGTGGCACAATCTGGGCTCACTGCAACCTCCGCCTCCCAGGTTCAAACAATTCTCCTGCTTCAGCCTCCCAAGTCACTGGGATTACAGGCACACACCACCATGCCCAGCTAATTTTTGTGTTTTTGAGTAGAGAGAGAGTTTCACCATGTTGGCCAGGATGGTCTTGATCTCATGACCTTGTGATCCGCCCACCTTGGCTTCCCAAAGTGCTGAGATTACAGGCATGTGCCACTGCGCTTAGCCTTAAATCTTTTTCTAGATGAAAAATTTGGTTCTATGTCTTCCTTCTACTTAGACTCTACATTGGTCAAAAATGGATTTCAACTCTTCAGTTTATACATTTAACAGATACATTCATGCAGCACATAACATTTCAAGCAGTGACAGACTACATATATATCAAGAGTCCCCCAAGATTATAAGGGAGCTGAAAAATTCCTATTGATTAGTGACCCAGCAGCTGTCATAACATTGTAGCACAACACATTATTCACATTTCGTGGTGATGTTGGTGTAAACAAACCTAGTTTACTGCCACTCATATAAAAGTGTAGCATGGACAATTATGTATACTACATGATATAGTCGTGCACTGCACAATGATGTTGAGCACAATGTGCTCAACAACTGACCACATATGATGATGGTCCTGTAAGATTATAATACTGTATTTTATTGTACTTTTTTATGTTTAGATGTGTTTAGATAATCAAATACTTACCATTGTGTTACAGTTGCCTACAGTGGTCAGTATAGTAACATGCTGTACAGGTTTATAAACTGCTAACAATAGGCTATATCCTAGGTGTATGGTAGGTTATACCATGGAGGTTTGCATAAGTATACCTATGATGTTTGCACAACAACGAGATCACCTTATGATGCATTTCTCAGAATGTATGCCCATAGTTAAGTGACACATAAATCTATATGTATGTGTGTATGTTATATGTCATGTACATATTTTTTAATTTGTATGTACTGCCCTCCTCCAACCCACAGCAAGTTTCTCCTATTACAGTGGCCTTTGAACAATATGGGTTGAATAGATCCGGTTATATGAAGATTTTTTTATTCCAATAAACACATTGGAAAATTTTTTGGAGTTTTGTGACAATTTATAAAACCCTAAAGACAAACTTTTTAGACTGTAAATATATTTTAAAAAGGTATGCCATGAATGCATAAAATATATGTAGCTACTAGTCTATCGTTTACTACCATAAAATATGTACAAATTTATTGTAAAAAATAAAATGTATTAAAACTAATGCATACAAACACTTAGACCCTACACAGTGCCATTTGCAGTTGAGAGAAATATAAACAAATATAAAGATGCAGTATTAAATCATAACTGCAAAACAGCTTAGAGAGAAACATAAATGAATTGATGGAGCTGAAAAAAATCATAACTGCATACAATTAACTCTAGTGTATACTGTACTACTGTAATAATTTCATAGCTACCTTCTTTTGCTGTTGTAGTGAGCTCAAGTGTTGGAAGTATCTACTTTTAAAATACCATGTGATATTTGCAGTAAAAAGTGATCTCTCATGGTTCTCATATGTTTTTCATCATGTTTAGGACTATCCTGGAAACCTTGAATAACACCATGAAATCCATATAAAGTGCCACTAGTGATGCTGGAAGTGCTCCCAAAAAGCAGAGAAAAGTCATGACATTACAAGAAGAAGTTGAATTGCTTGATATGTACTGTAGATTAAGGTCTGCAACTGTAGTTCCTCACCATTTCAGACAGTTCATCTTGTAAACAGATGGCAACCTTACAGTATTGATAAAGACTGTATAATACTATGAACATTTTATCTTCCTTCTGATTTTCTTAATAACTTTTTTCTCTAGCTTTATTATAAGAATACAAAATATAATACATATAACATACAAAATACGTATTAATCAACTTTGTGACATCTGGTCAACAGTAGGCTATTGGTAGTTAAGTTTTTGGATTTTTGACTATATGGGGGATTGGCACTCCTAACCCCCAAGTTGCTCATGGGTCAGTTGTATCCATTTTAGAAAAGAAGAAAGTAAATGTTTCCCCTTTATTCCCACGAACACTTCAGACTTGTTATTTAATAATGAAAGTAGGAGAATAAACAGCAAATTTGCATAGTCAAAGAGAGTACTTGTTAACTGGACAGTAGATCTGTAAAAATCACTCAGACTATAGCAATGTAACAGCACAGAGAGATAAAAGGAGAATGTGATAAAACAATAAAGAGAAATGACGGGCAGAATAAGATTCCCCAACATCTGCCAAAGTGGAGTTCTACTAGGAGGAAATACAGAGAATGGGGCTTAGGCAGTATTCTAAGCTATAAGGACTATCAGTTTTTCGTAATTAAGGAGCAATAAGAATTTGTATAGTAGAGTAGCATGTTAAGTCTGGGCAGGATAAAGTAAAAGAGATCTACAGCTAGTTAAATTATGTTAAGACTGCAGAACATCAAAGACAAAATTTTAAGGGCAACCAGAGAAAAGATACTACTTACAAGAGTATTACAGACTGATAGACCTCTTATCTGTGTCAGTAGACTCCAGCAGAAAATGCAATAATAGTATCAATTAAGAATCACAATTGAGTTTTTATTCAGAAAATGAGGATGAAATAAAGCTATCTTCAGACAAAGTCTCAGAGTTTGCCACACATAGATTCTCAGTAAAATAACTACAAAAGAAGTTACTTCTCTAAGAGGTAATGCGAACCTCAGATAAAGGAGTGGAATTGCAAAAAGCAATGATGGAAAAGTATATTAGAAAACATGTTAATCTAATTACAAGTTTTGCTGACTATAAAGCAAAAGTCAAACAATTGGAGAGAGGTGAAAAACAAATAATAGGCCACACTAGCATGGAAGATAAGGAGGCAACAGATAAGAGTTAACATGTTTTAAGGTCCTCATATTTTCAGGCAGATGATGAGATATCTATCAATTGACTTCTTCATTGTATTTTTTGTTTTCTTGCCTGCA